AGCATGATGATGCTCAAAGTGTGAATTCATTTATTTTATTCTTCCAGTAGTAGAGACGATTACATGAGAAGTCCTTTGCTTGTACACATTATTGTCATGTTCTCCTTTGACAAGTCTTCCTGATGACTAATGTTTTTTCCTCCCTCATGAAATTTATTCATTAAGAAACCGTTTTGGAATTTGCAGGGGTGAAATGGGTGAATCATCTGTGAGGCTCAATAGTAGCTCCACTAAAGTAAACATACTTATTAAAGTGTCATGACTGTGTGAAAAATAGCTGAGTGTTCTGTAATTTGTAATGGAGGGGTAGTGTGGGGCACTTTTTAAAAGTCATTAAGCAATTTCTCTAAGTTAGAGAAAACACATTTGCTGTGCCTGAGACTCCAGTAGGAACTTTGTGTTACAAAACTCATAAATAATTGTTGAATTACAAATAAATAATTGTTGAATTACAGATGGCACCTATCATGTCTAAAATCCTCTTCCATGCTTCCTATTGGTTTCAAAACAAAATTAAATTTTAAAAAATTAGGTCACACTGTAAACTTACTGAACCCAGGCAAAAAAAAAAAAAAAAAGTGTTTTGTCATAAATAGTAATTATAATTATGTTACTTTTCAGTATTGTACAGTCTAAAACTGCTACAGCATTTTCTTGGTTGTTTGTGATTGCCGAACTTTTTCATGTACCAGGTGGGCGACTCAAGGATTTGATTTTCTACAAGCAATTGAACCTGCCTTTATTTCAGCTTTACCAGAAGATGACTTCTTGGTATGGAATATTCTAAAGTTTTTTTCATTATAAAATAAGCCAGTCACTCTTCATTTTCTGGTTGAGTATGTTTTATATGTAATAATCGTTCTTTTTTTTTTTTTTTTTTGAGACAGAGTCTCGCTGTGTCACCCAGGCTGGAGTGTAGCTGTCTCTTATACACATCTAGATGTGTATAAGAGACAGGGTTAAAACAGATTGTTAAAAGTCAAGAAGAGAAAAAGCATGTTACGGAGAGTAGGCAAAATATAACACATGTCCATTAATATTGACATCTAGTTATTGGGAAAGTGGAATTGTCAGCATATTTGTAATCACTAGGTAAGATCTCTAATTTTAAATTTTATCTAGTTTTAAATTTTTATTTTAAATTTTATTCATATTTATCTATTACCAGAATATGTAAAAGAAAAAGAGAAGAAAACATGCTCCTGAAAAAAATAATAACTAATAACTCAGTTAAATCTACCTGATCTGGTTTAGAGGAACTGAGTAAAACTCCATGTACTCAGGAAAATGACAGCGACCTCAAAGGCAGGATCTCTCGAAATGTCGCCAGTGGCCACAATCTTTTTAACGTGTAGATAACAGAAGAACTCCTTTGTATTAGGAGTATCTCTAAAATGAGTTACATCATTTGTTTAGCTTACATTGTGTATGTTTTACTCCAGGATTTTTAAAATGTTTTTTGATGGAGAAAACTGTAAATATATAATAGGGCTTTACTGACTTTTAAAAAGTGACATTTCCCATAATATTTGTATATGTAATATTGTTTTTTACTTATATAAATGGACTTACCTTGGTCATTGGCCAAAATGAGTGACATTCCATTTTCCATTTGACTGTTTGGTTTGATGATTTTCTGTGGACCATGTTAACAAGTTGCATTTGTTGCCATTTTTGCTGGCAGCCATTCATCGGAACAGCCCCCGTCCTATGAAGGTACCTCGATGCCATAGTGACCCTCCTAACCCACACCTCATTATCCCCACTCCAGAGGGATTCAGGTATTTGGTGCTTGTCTAGTCATTTGCTTTACAGAGTGCTCTCCGATATGCATGCTGATACTTTTGAAACTACTAGATGCTTGCTCTGAGAGCTAAATACCTTTGCCGCGTTGTTCGTACATTTGTAAAAGCTCTTTCTTGCATTATCTTGAAGCCTTTAGTCGCAAAAGAAAAAGACATGCAAATTTAAAACAGACCTGTACCTTTCAAGATAACTTCATTTCTCAGCTTATTTATAACCTCAAGCTACTAAATGCTTTCAGGCTTTGGAGTCATTTTTCCCTTTCCTGCCTTCGAAAAATAACCTTCAGAAAACAAATTTGAATGTGGATAGTGTAGTCAACATTTGAAAACAACACTAAATACCACTAAAAGTGGAGAAAAACTGGAATGACCTTTCCAGATTCAATTTTTATCTGCATATGTAATTACAAAGCAACGTAAACACTAAGTGAATTCAGAAACGATAGTACATTCACGATAACTGCCTTGAATGTGGTGGCATTTCTGCATCTTGAGATAGTGAGCACCTTCTCTCGCTGTATAATCACTTTTTGAAAGTGTAATTTTATTTAACAAATTTGCTAGATAAGGACCACAGTTATTTTTTTTTTTAAAGCTTTGTGGGGACCGGGGTGCAGTGACTCACGTCTGTAATTCCAGCACTTTAGGAGGCCGAGGCGGGAGGATCTCTTGAGCACAGGAGTTGGAGAACAGCCTGGGCAATGTAGCAAAACATCGTCTCTACAGAAAATACAACAAAGATAATAGCTGGGTGTAATGGCCGTTGCCTGTAGTCCCAGCTACTCGGGAGGCTGAAGCAAGGAGGATCACTTGAGCCCAGAGCCCAGGAGGTCAAGGCTGCAGTGAGCTATGATTGCGCCACTGCACTCCAGTCTGGGCAACAGAGTGCGATGCTGTCTCAAAAAAAAGAAAAGCTTTGAAGTTAGGTTTTTTCTTTTTTACACCTAGACTCAAATCTCAAAGAACAATTTGCATTTTATATTTTTAAACATATTTCAACCCCTTGCCATAATTTATTTTTAATTGAAAAAGATTTTCAAGTCCATTCCCTCTTCTCACATGTGTTCCTGAAGCTTTTCTTCTTGTCTTAGCACTCGGAGCGTGCCTTCCGACGCGCGGAGCCACGGCAGCCCTGCTGCTGCTGCTGCTGCTGTTGCTGCCAGTCGGCCCAGCCCCTCTGGTGGCGACTCTGTGCTGCCCAAATCCATCAGCAGTGCCCATGATACCAGGTAGTCTCACCCCACCAGCGTCCCGTACCCTCACCACCCCTGACATGTGCTTGCACAGTGACCATAGCGTTAGGGTGTGTGCCGGCTGTGGTTGGGCGTCTTTGCTGTGGTGTGTGAGTGATGCTGTAGGGCCTTCTGCAGGTTGTCATGGCCCGAAGGCTCTGGCACCGACCAGCACGAATAGATACTTGTCTGATGTCAGTATTTCTTTGGAGCTGGTATTAGCCAAAATGTCCAAAGACTTTGCGAAGAATAACTTGATGGAGTATCATAGGAAAGGACTGGTCCACAGCAGAAGGGGACACGAGCATTTTGCCTCATGGAGCCTGGAGTCACGAGGTGGTTAAAAGATGACATCTAGTTAATGATCTGAGGTGGTAACGTTTTATTTTTTGGGGAAGATCAGTTTTCTAACCAAATGTTCTATTTTAAATAATTGTTGATTAGAAGTAGTTTATAGAAGTGGAAAAATGAGTTCATGGGGTTTGTATGTCATATGGACAATAGATCAGTACTTGAGAGAACTCTCAGACAACTTGGCAAGCCCCAGAACAGTTAAGTCTCGCATTGTCTTTTATATTAGCAAGGAGGGTCTTGCAGGTTTTCCCATTCTAGTTATATTTTGGCAGAGGATTTCATCATGTTCTCCTATCCTAAGTGGAGGAAGAGCTGTTCTCTCTAAATTTCACCCCTATACCTAAGTAGGAGGAATGCTGTCAGTATTCCCATCTTCCAATGTGAGTCAAACCAAACTATTTAGGTTGGGGGTATCTGATCTTAAAAGATCAACTTGTGATAGAACCCAGGGCTCTGTGTTCAGCTCCGAGGAGAAAATAGTAGAGTTATCAGGAAGATGATGCCTGGCTCTAGATTTTAAAATAGACTAAAATGTTTTTACACTTACTTTAATAACAGTCTAAAATTTCTACAAATATTTGCAGTCTTTTCACTCATTAATTAATACTTCTAAATTTTAGTGAGACATGTCTATAACCTAAAAAATGTCAAAGTATTTTACTGCTTAAGCAGTCAACTAAAAAAATTAACAAATTGAACAAATTCCCATTTAGCGTCCTAATTTTTATGTTTAGAGCTTTTCCTGGCTAATATCTTCATATATGCTTTTATATCCCTGTGAGAGCTGCCAAAACTGTCTTCTTTATTCATGCAGTACAGACTGAAGTGCTTTGGTCTAAAACACAGTCATAATTGAGGAGGGCGTTGGCCACCTGTGGCTCCTGCCTCCCACACCTGCTGTGTCCACGTTCACATGAAACTGCTCCTGAACTGGACAATGGGGAGTGACCTCCCTCTTTTTAAAGATTGATGCGCTGTGTTTTAAGGCATTTGTAAGTTGGTAGTGTGGCACATTACGTGTATTTTAGTATAAGAGTTAAATACTACAGTTGGCCTTTTCATGGAGTTTAGTCTTTGCATAAGCAGTTTTTCAGCATTTCATCTTAATACTTATCAGTAGCATTTCATAAGTATTCATCATAAGTTTGTACATACTTAGACAATCTTTGATGTTTAGAAATTTTAATGGTATCATAGTGTGCTATCTTGAAGGACATTTTTTTACACAAGATTCCCGTTCACTTTACTTTATGACCCGTGTGTGTGTGTGTGAGACAGTAGGTAGAGAAGAGCACAGCCACATGAAGAGGTGTGGGTGGTCATCAGACTGCCTGCTGCATTCAAGCCCTGCGTAAGCCTCAGTGCCTTCACAGTGAGCCTGGTTCGTGGGCCCATGAGTCACTGGTGGATTCGGCTCACTGCTCCCGAGGCAAACTTCACAGACCCGAGGTCTTGTTTCTCAGCACAGCTGTGGGTTTGTGAATGTGCCACGGGGAGGCAGAATGAACCAGTGTGTGCATCCCTGCCACAGCCATGGGGTGTAGCCCTCACCTGTCTTACAGATACATCAACCAAAGTTCAACTTCGCTTGACCCTAGAGGTTTCGATAAGTATTTTCAATTGATTTTACTTGACCTAGGAAATACCTCTTCTGGGCTTACCTTACCATTGTTTGTACAAACACTTTGCAGTGGTGCTGTTGCTGAGGCTTGCTCCTGCTGGCTCTCAAGAGCTGATGGCAAATGTTTGAGAAATTTTGCAAGTTGTTATACCACAGAAGTTGGCAAACTCTACAACCCACCTCCCCATCCCTCACATCCCCCTCCAGAACTAGTTGTTCAACATTCCCCAATATGCCACTTCATGGGTATATGTTCTTGCCTTTTACCCATGCAAAAATCTCTTAAGGACATGGAATTGGCCAGTCTCACCTGTGGGAAATCAGGAAAATTAGAGGTGTTAGTGACTTCTTGGTCTCACTAGTGGTCTTTAGTGCTGCTTAGGAGTGGAATAGGCTTCCTCACTTCAATACCAGTGGTTTTCCCATCAGATAGTGCTGAATTTTTGATGAACTGTATGGTAGTAGAAGTGTCCCCATCACTTCAGACTTAACAAGTACTATACTAGATTTGAGGGCTTAGGGAAATACCAGAAAAATGCGTATTTTATAATTTGTAAATGTCTGTGCAATAGATCATATTGCCTTCAACCTATCAGTGTATAATAAGAGCATAAATGCTACCATACTTCATTCTGTCGTTCACTTAAAAATATACACTAAATGACTTTAATAAACTAATGCCAAATTTATTTGAGGTTCTTTGATTATTCAAATTACAATTTTAACACATTCCCTATTTAGTTTTAGTTTTTACTCTTTATGGGTTCATTCTGGTTGCTGAACATTTCACTTTATTCTGGAAAAGCACCTCATTAACTTTGTTCTTTAATATATTAAGCTTCCTGCTCTTTTGCACTTTTGCTTGGCTACTGCTTGAGAAACCTTTAGGTATTCCCTTCCATTTTCTTATTAAGAGACTTGGAATCTTTTGGACCGTGGAATGATTTTAGTACTTTAAACGTAATTAAGACATAAATATAATTTGATGGTAACCTTAAAGATCAGCAAGATTTGGTTAATACGGTTTTATTCACCCTGGGCTTGAGTTACGGAGCTTTTCACACGTCAGTAACACTTCAGTTGTGTCATGTTTTTATTTCTGTTGTTAATGTAAGACAAGGTTTTATGCAGGCAGGTGTTCTCAGGCTCGGGTGCTGGCTATGGAGAGATGAAAATAGAGCCCTCCTTCCAGACTCTAGAGCTCTAACAGACTCCAGAGGAGGGACTCCAGAGGAGGGTCTCCACAGCAGCGCTGTTCGCTTATGGCGAAAATTCTGGTGGGTCTGTCCTGTGCGTTTTCCGCTGCCCACTAGATGCCAGTAGCACCTTCCCAGAAGTGTCTAAGACATTGCTGGAGACAGAATTGTTCCTGGCAGGCAGAGTTGCCCCCAGTTGAGAATTAGTTCCTCTAGAAAAATCTCACAGATCTTTCATTTTAAGTTCTATTGAATTGATGGCTCAATTGTTAAAAATATTAAAACAGGGGTTCCAGCGTCCCTGAAAATGATCGATTGGCTTCCATAGCTGCTGAATTGCAGTTTAGGTCCCTGAGTCGTCACTCAAGCCCCACGGAGGAACGAGACGGTGAGTGTTTTAAGGTGGTGGCTGCATTCACAACTAGCCTAATCACAACCAGCCTAATCATTTGTCCCAGTTCACCAGTTTCTGTCGTTAATGCCTTTATGAGGATCCCTTGAAGATTCCTTTTTTTGGTCCTTTCTAAAGGAATGAAGGGTAGGAAGCAGCAGAGCTTTCTGAGAAGACTTACTGCTGAGCATGTTGGCTTTTTAATGCAGATGCGTTTTTAGCTCTGTTAGCATTTTATAGGTCTACTTTTGTTGCTTTAAAAATATTATTCTAGATATTTTAACTGTTGAATACTTTTATTCATTTAAAAAATACAGAAGTGACGCTATGTTGGTTGATCATATGTAGAAATTTCATTTATAATGCAGCCCTCAGAAACCTTTGCTCAGGAACCCCATTGCTGCTTCCATTGGAGCAGGGCTGGGGCTCCTGAAGCCGACATCTTGAACGAGGTCCCCAAGGAGTCCACTTTTTACACAGTGTTCTGTTGACTGTTACTAGTGAAAAGATGAGTGTAGTTAAAATCCTGTAACCCCATTAACTTCTTAGTTGGTGCAATTTTTAGAATTGATTGCAAAGATAGTTTCTCACACCCACATCAAACACACTAAAGATCAATAAACAGAAAGGACAGGTTGCTTTTAACCATTATCCTTCCTTTCAGTTGTTCTCAAATAAGCGTATTTATTTCATAAATCTTAATTTGTATAAAAATAACTTCCTGCAGAACCAGCATATCCAAGAGGAGATTCAAGTGGGTCCACCAGAAGAAGCTGGGAACTTCGGACACTAATCAGCCAGAGTAAAGGTGAGAGGAGTGTTGAAGTTAAACAAACAAACAAACAAAAAACATGGTTACACATAAGGGGAGCAGTTTCAGGTAGAACTTGATTTAGCTTCTGAATTATTAGACCTCCTCCATTACTATTTTGTGATCTCACACCTCTGACATCACTTTCTATCATGTGCTATGTTTGTGTACATTTCCTATTTCTTGTAACAAACTGCACGCTCCTTTGGGTCTCTAATATGTTTTACTCATCTTTATATTGTTAAAGCAACTTAGCATAACTTTTTGTCCATGGTAGAAATATAATAAACATTTGTGAAATAGCCATTCATAAATTAGACATTGAGGAAAAGAACTTATCAAACAAAGCAGGTGATTAATATTAATCAAAAGAACAAATAGAAAAATCACTGATCTGGTATTTAATGATCTATAAAATGCTTTCATGTCTTTTTTTGCACAACAATATTGAGCAACAGGCAAAATAGATGTTGTTCTCTTTTTATAAATGATAGTTTCTTAGCAGCCCAATAATTTGGCCAAGGTAGTCAATGACAGAGTGAGGACCAGAAGGCACTTCTCTCGAGTCCAGTGCACTCCACGGCAGCTTCCCTTTGACCTGTGTGTGACTGACCAGAAGAGTATTTGTCTTCCAAAGCCCAGAGATGTCTGGAAGGATTTTGTGGAGGGAGGAGACTGGGCTGGCCCTTTGAAGGGAAGACAGGTCTGCAGCAAGCCAGGAGGAAAGGAATAGAAGGAAGTGTAGGCCTCGTGACTGCAGAGGAGAGCCACTGGGCCGCAGATGCCAATGTAGGAGAAACCGGAGGGTGAAGGGAGATCAGATCATGGACAGCTGTCAGTGACCAGCTAAGTAATGAAGGCTTTGCCCAGAGGTGGTGGGCAGCCCCAGAGGCTCTTGAGCAGCTGGTGTGTTTGGGATGTGGGAGGCTGGGGATGAGTAAGATGCTGAGATAGTATAGTCAGCTAGCCAGAATTGAGGAGAAGGTGGGCAGATTCGTTAGAATGCCGTTGCAGAAATTCCTTATAAATAATATGATTTTGGACTAACGTGGGATTTAAAAGAGGTAATGGCAGCAAGAAACAACCGACAAGCCTGCTGACAGAGTAGGTGTGTGTCGAGGGTTCAAGTTGCGGAGTTTTCCTAGGCTTGAGCCTGGTGACAGGAAGACAGTCTCTTCAGTGGCTCACATGTAATCAGCAGTTCCCAAGGATACCAGGTCCTTGCCATGTTTTTCAAATCAAGTACTTTGTGGTCAAGTAAACTTGGGAACCACTTGGAATTTTGTTTCTCTTGTGAGAGTTAACTTCACGTTGACATATTAAAGACAAATGGCTGGGCGCGGTGATTCACGCCTGTAATCCCAGCACTTTGGGAGGCCGAAGCAGGAGGATCACCTGAGGTCAGGAGTTCGAGACCAGCCTGACCAACATGGAGAAACCCCATCTCTACTAAGAATACAAAATTAACCAGGCGTGATGGCGCATGCTGGTAATCCCAGCTACTCAGGAGGCCACGACAGGAAAATTGCTTGAGCCCGGGAGGCAGAGGTTGCAGTGAGCCGAGATTGCACCATTGCACCATGGCACCATCGCACCACTGCAGCAAGAGCGAAACTCTGTCTCAAAAAAAAAAAAAAGGCCAGGCACAGTGGCTCATACCTGTAATCCCAGCACTTTGGGAGGCTGAAGTGGGTGAATCACGAGGTCAAGAGGTCGAGACTATCCTGGCCAACATGGTGAAACCCTGTCTCTATTAAAAATACAAAAATTAGCTGGGCAGGGTGGCGGGCGCTTGTAATTCCAGCTACTCGGGAGGCTGAGGCAGGAGAATCTCTTGAACCTGGGAGGTGGAGGTTGCAGTGAGCCAAGATCATGCCACTGCACTCCAGCCTGGTGACAGAGGGAGACTCCATCTCAAAAAACCAAACAAACAAGGAATCTTGATAAATTTTTTTTAAGCATTTCTCAGAAATATTTGACTGTGGAGCCCATGGCCTCACTGCTGTTAAAGTCTTGCCCATTGCTGGGTAGATTTGCTGTGTTGTATATTGAGGCAAAGGAAACAAATTTGGATCCATATTTTAAAGAAGTGATTGTAATAAATTATAAATGGACCATTATAAATCTTTCAGAATTTCTCTTTTCAGATTAACCTTATAGTCATCCCAGCCTTCAAGGATCTCTTCATCTGAGCCAGAAAACTTAGGCTCTTGGGTAGCTAATTAGGATATGGTATGAAAAATGCTGTCATAGAGAACAGGACAAACCATGGTTTTCAAGTTGTGGGTTGTGAACCATTAGTGGGTTGTAAAATTTTAGTAGGAGTGATCAGCATTTTTTAAAAAAGAACAGGATGAAATCAGAATCACATGTAGTAAGGGTAATAGCTCACAGAACTGTTAAATGTGTAAAAAGTATTTCTTTTTTTCTTTTTATCATGACAAGTTGATAAAACAAGTTGGAGAAATAGAGATACATTGCCTGATGGGAAAATGAGGAATAATGACCATAGCTAATATTAATTGAGTTTTACTGTGTTCCAGCCACTGGGCTAAATGCTTTACAGGTATTATTTCATGAAATCCTCACAGTAGGTCTGTGAGATTGGACTTTTTACCTTTATTTTACAGATTGGTTTTTAATGTGTGAAGAAGTTAATTGCCTTGCCTATTGTCAAACACCTAGAAAATGGCGAGGCCAGGATTTTATCCCAGGAATTTTGATTCTAGAGCCCTTTTTCTGTACTCTTCCCAGAGAAGGGAAAATCCTTCTCATCAGAGATGGCTTCCTAGAAGAGGCATGGCATTTCAGCTGCACTGTATGAATAAGATTCACTCAACAGATACTCAGGTATGAAGAAGATATTTTAGGCAGAGGAAAAGGTGTAAAAGTAAGCGAAGCGAAAAGTAGTTTGCTGTGTTCTGTAAGAGTCATTTTGGCTAGTTTGAAAACATAGAAAAGACAAACTGGGTCCAAATTCTGCAGGTAAAGTTTGCATATTTGGTTAGTAGGTAGTGGAGAACCATGAGTTAAGTGTTTTTTTGTTTTTTGTTTTTGAGACTTGGTCTTACTCTGTCACCCATGCTGGAGTGCAGTGGCACAATCTTGGCTCACTGTGACCTCTACCTCCTGGGCACAAGGGATCCTCCCACCTCAGCCTCCCGAGTAGCTGGGACTACAGGCACGCACCACCATACCTGGCTAACTTTTGTATGTTTTTGTAGAGATGGGTGTCATGTGCGTCGATGTGAAGAGATCACCAAACAGGCTTTATCTGAGCAATAGAGCTTTTAATCACTTGGGTGCAGGCAGGCTGAGTCCGAAGAGAGAGTCAGCGAAGGGAGATAAGGGTGCGGCCATTTTATAGGATTTGGGTACGTAAAGGAAAATTACAGTCAAAGGGGATTTGTTCTTTGGCGAGCAGGAGTGGGGGTCGCAAGGTGCTCAGTGGGGGAAATTTTTGAGCCAGGATGAGCCAGGAAAAGGACTTTCACAAGGTAATGTCATCACTTAAGGCAAGGACTGGCCATTTTCCCTTTTTTTGTGGTGGAATGTCATCAGTTAAGGCAGGGGCAGGGCATTTTTACCTCTTTTGTGATTCTTCAGTTACTTCAGGCCATCTGGGCATATATGTGCAAGTCACAGGGGATGGGATGACTTGGCTTGGGCTTAGAGGCCTGACAATGGGGTTTTGCCTTTTTTCCCAGGCTGGTCTTGAACTCCTAGGCTCAAGCAATCTGACCACCTCGCCTCCCAAAGTGCTGGGATTGCAAGCATGAGTCACTGCTCCAGTGAATTAAATTTATGTAGGACAGTAACATGATCACATCTTATGTTTTAATAATATGGCAAACAAGAGCGTGGAATGGAGAGAGAAGAAACTAGAGGCATTTATATTACTGCAAGATTTTAGCCAACGTTCTTGGGAAAGGAAATCGTTTTTGTTTGACTAGCTTATATTTTATCTGTGTACTGTATAAGGGGTGGCATATGCTGGAATTAGTAGCGTTTGAAGAACTTTAATTCACCTGTGTATCTGAGTAGATAATAAGCTTTGCTGTAATGGAGTGCTAATATATATTGCTCTGTCGTTATTGGTTTCTCTTTTGGAAACTGACTTGATAACAGTGATTGGGACTAATGAGGTTTTGGTTCTCTCTGCAGATACTGCTTCTAAACTAGGACCCATAGAAGCTATCCAGAAGTCAGTCCGATTGTTCGAAGAAAAGAGGTACCGAGAAATGAGGAGAAAGAATATCATTGGTCAAGTTTGTGATACGCCTAAGTCCTATGATAACGTCATGCATGTTGGCTTGAGGAAGGTGACCTTCAAGTGGCAAAGAGGAAACAAAATCGGTAAGGAAATTAAGGAACGTGATGTCAAGATAGTCCCTGTTAGAAGTAGCAATAGTTACACTTCTTTAGGTTAAATCCTATAGGGTTGGCCCTTTTTTCTTGTAGATACAATAAATATGCATTGTTACCTTTTTGCAGAGTGGTCTGGATTTTGTTTGTTTAATTTGTAAAATGTATTCTAAGAGCAATACAAAAGAGATTTCTAAGTGGTTCATTACGTTGGATCGTTTTGCTTAATAACCCTGGAAGTTGCCAGTGGAGAGGCACCAAAAATTGACCCATTTGTTCTAGTCTCTCTCTCTCTGTACACACACACACACACACACACACACACACACACAGGACATGATTTGAAGAGAGACTGGATACAAATGAGGACAAGACAGTCTTCTTTTCTAAAACATTGCCTCATTAATTAATTAATTTCCAGGTGGAATTGCTTCTTGTAAAATAACTAGTGGTAAATTATGTGAGGGAAGAAGTCTTGTTGTGTTTCAGATCCTTTCCCCACTTAAATGTATTTATCTGTCACACATCTAGGTCTGAAGGGGGTGAACACAGTTGTATTAATAATATGGGACTTTGTCAGCCTGAGGAAACCTGATGTTTCCTTGGAGCTATCAAGGAGGGCAAAACCCACTGAAAACAATCAAGTACTTTATAAATTGGATTAATTACTGTTATCAGTCTTGTTCAGGCACATATCCTCTTGCTTTAATGTCCCAGAAAGTATGTTAGGGGAATGTCTGCTCCCACACACTCCTGGACATGTGCCAGTGAGGTAGACAATGGCCAGGCTTAGTCCTGGCTGTTTTCTTCTGCTCCGAGCCCCAGCCAAGATCTCCTTGAGGGGTGTGAGGGCTCAGAAGTGTACACCAAGGCTGCTTTTATTGGTCATTTTGATGCTTCTCCTGGGATTTACCCAAGTTGGTTCTGCTCTATTTAAAGATACTTGTAGGTAAGACATATTAAAGAGATTGCCTAAAACTTTAGTTATCAGGGAACATTTAGAAAAATTTTGGATCTTGCAATAGTAAACTGCAGTAAACCTAATTATAAATATATAAATATACGTCCAAAATAATTGGACAGTATTATTGCAAGTTTAAGGAATGTAAAACAGCCCGCTGCAGTGGCTGGCAGTGCAGCTTGTTTGCGTTATTTGCAGGGGAAGGCCAGTACGGGAAGGTGTACACCTGCATCAGCGTCGACACCGGGGAGCTGATGGCCATGAAGGAGGTGAGTCACCTGGCTCCCTGGGGCCTTTGGGCCTGGCGGCTCTGGGTGATAGAAATTCCGTAAAGACGCTGGTGGTGATTCAGTTCTCTGTGCATAGAGCTGTCTTCAGCACCAGCACTGCGACAGTCAGGACCAACCAGGCAGATGCACTGAGATAACACACACAGACAGTGAAGGGGCTTACAATTCCAGAGAGGGTAATAAGTCACAAACAGTTCTAACAGCACAGGTGTGAGCAGTGCCTACGAGGGTGGCAGAGCTAAGTCTGATGAAGGCTTAGAGGAGATGATTAACAGGAGTGTCTTACGGGGGCACTTTGGGGGAGAAGATAACAGTTATGATAAGCTTCAGAAACAACTGGCATTGAAACAGCTGGAGGTAGGATGGGGAAATGGCCAGGGAACCTGAAGTGGAAACAGGACTCACTGCTGTCTGTGGAGACATCCGGTTTGACATGGAAGGAGAGGAGGGGCGGGGAAGGGAGGCTCCAGCGTCTTGAGCTTGCTGTGGAGCTGCTTCCTCCTCCACACGACGCTCCTCTCTCCACTCTCTCCCGGAGCAGAGCCTCTTCCTCCTCTGTGCCCGGGACCTGGCTGCACTTCTGTGACTTCACTCCAGCTTGGCTATAAACTTCCTTTTTTCTTAACTTTTTGTTATTTTTAATTGACAGATCATGATTATATATATATTTATGGGGTGTAGAATGATGTTTCAATGTATGTGTATAATGTAGAGTGATTAAATCCGGCCAATTAACGTATTCATCACCTCACTTTACAGATTCGATTTCAACCTAATGACCATAAGACTATCAAGGAAACTGCAGATGAATTGAAAATATTCGAAGGCATCAAACACCCCAATCTGGTTCGGTATTTTGGTGTGGAGCTTCATAGAGTAAGCCGACCCTAATGACACTCTTTGTGTGAGGAATCAGTGAGGGCACAGAATGGAGTCCTGTTCTACATCACAGGTCTTCTCATTTCAGAGCACAGTAACTTTGCCTAATTCTCAGGAAATCTCCATGAGTTACATCATTTCTGCCTTCTCTCTGAAACTAGAGGAGTTCTTCCTAAAATGTAAGTTGTAGACTGTAGTCATTAACCCGACATCATAAAGCACTGAAACCCATCCTGCCAGTCAGAAGATTCTTCTAAAACGCCCCTTACACCACCTCTTGTGACTTTTTTTCCATTTTTTTGCTGAACCACTGTTGAGTACACTGTTAAGTAATACTGGTTTTTCTCTTGTATGTATTTAGGGAGCCATTGTGAAATGAGAGAAAATTCAAACCTCAAATTAAGTTTCCCCCTTGTGTTTAGAAATAAACACGTCGAGGGAAAGAGGATAACTTGGAGCATTGTGGTGTAGAGCATGAGCTTCCAGGGGAAGTTGAAAATGGATCATTTTTAATGTTTTTACAAATTATGTTTAAAAAGGATGTGTTTCAGTACTTAATAATGTATTTGTAGGGACAGCCCTGTTGGTCCCTGTCTGAGATTATATAGCAGACTTAATTTCAGAGGATAATAGAAATTGATCCCCTGCGATTTGGAGATGTTCTTATCCCCACGAGCTGTATAATTCCAGACAGAGGAGGCAGGCAGACACCTCTGTAGAGGACTTGGAAACGACTGTTGTGAGACACATTCAGTACTCAGGATGGCAAGTGTAGTATACCGTTAGAAAGAACATTCCTTTGGGGTGTGGCCTAGGAAGTTTTCCAGATTTTTCACTAGCGTACATGTAAGGAAAACCGTAAACACAGAGCTGCCCTTTATTCCTCCTGCAGGAAGAAATGTACATCTTCATGGAGTACTGCGATGAGGGGACATTAGAAGAGGTGTCAAGGCTGGGACTTCAGGAACATGTGATTAGGCTGTATTCAAAGCAGATCACCATTGCGATCAATGTCCTCCATGAGCATGGCATAGTCCACCGTGACATTAAAGGTAATCCTACACCCGCCTGGCTGCTGTGGGTTAGAGCCACTGGTACCCAGCACGTGGGAGGGGCTCTGAAGACACGCATCCCATTCCCACATACGATTTCTCGAGATGGAAATACCTTTCATTGAAACATGCCTCCGGAAGGATCCTGTTTTCAGAAGCAAGGTAGAACCCATGTCTCTACCCAGGAGTCCACTCTGTCTGGGCAACACTGCTTTTAGAGAAATCTGTTTTCCCAAAATGAAGTTTGCTATTTTTATAGGCCGGTTTGGCATAGCCCATGTAGTTCCCAGACATTCGTGATCAAAGCAACCTTTTTTCCTCTCGTATCAGGATTCTTGTCTATTTATATATGAAAATCATGAATATGTAAACCGACAGTAAATCAGATCAGAAATGCACATACAAATTTGAGGCTACATTTTTGAGACAAGAATGGGGTTTACACAAACGTTGAAATCGAGTTCTGCTGAAGATTAATTGGGCCACGCTGATGGATTAAAAGGGCTTTTCTCATAGCACGGGTTGGGGGGGGGGAATAGCTGTGCTTCTGTCTCAGAATGGTCACCGTGGCATTTGCCTTAACCACGCCATGCCCCTCCCCTTTGTATTTGCAAGTCTTAAGGATAATTAAAATGGGGAAGTATTTTTGTGCCTAATTGGCCCTAGGCTGAAGAGTTTCATTCTGTCCTGTAGTCTGAGGCTAACCTAAACACACTCACTCAGGAACCGATCTGACTTCTGACCAGGGACGAGACCCAGTATAGGGGGCTGTTTTGGATGACACCAGTCTGCTTTGGTCTGGGTGTAAGAATTGTTCGTGCTCTGTAATGTGGCTCACCCTGAATCACCCAGCGTATGCCAGTCTTGCTGGCGGCCTGCCTGTCCACTACCTTGCTTTGGTGTCTCGGGTCATTCTGGTGTTGGCTTAATTGGCTCTTTATCAGGCTGTAGCATTGCCCATTTCTAGTCATTCTGCCATAGACACCACCCTCAGTCTGTTCACTGTTACAAAATGGTGTCTTCATGTTTTATTCCGTGGCAGGAAGAGACTCCCTTAGAATCTGAACCAAGTCAGCTCACTGATATCCTTATCGAATGCTTTCTAGTTCAGCATGACTAAGAAGGTACAGATGTAGAATCGTTCGAGAAGATCAAGCTGCCCTTGTAGTCAGTTGTGGGGAGCATCAGCTCTAGGAGCACTGATTTATGAGTAGTCGCTGTTGACCTCAGCTCATCAGATGGCTGCTTGTCTACTCCATTGGCTCTGTGTTGTTGCTTTTCAAAGGCGGTACCACAGGACACGATGCCAGAGATAGCATGACTTAGTTGGAGCAGTAATGTCTTATAGCCTAGAGCAAAAAGCCAAGCTCCCCTGAGAGATGAACAGTATCCCCAAATTCTAACTAGACTACAAGTTAAGCATATATATTGCTTGTGGGAATATTTGAAACTTGCGGAACAGTTTTCAGTCACGAACACATCCAAGGGCCTCAGCTGGGAATCTGAAGAACTGCAGTGTGTGTGCAGCTCTCATCTATATGTTGCTTCCTGTTTCAGACGCTGCTGATTGTACACCTCTCTAATTCTTCAGACTGCCACCACAAGCATTTGTGTTTTGTATGCGATTTCTTTTTAAGTATCTCTGTGGGTTATTAATGTTAGAATTTATGCATGTATTTCAGTTCAGAATTTATTGGTCAAGGCTACCTGCGCTGCTGTTACAATTTTGTTGTTTTGTATTAACATTTGTGAGTGAATAAGGCTTACAAATCTTTCTGTGATTACACTTTGTAAGTCAAGTTTCATAAGCCTTTCTGTTGTTCAGTTTGTGAATGAACTTCCTGGTAGTTTAGATTACCATGTAACCTTGCCCACATTGTGTTTCAGAGGCTGCGTAACAACTGCTTGTTTCTTTTTAGGTGCCAATATCTTCCTTACCTCATCTGGATTAATCAAACTGGGAGATTTTGGATGCTCAGTAAAGCTCAAAAACAATGCCCAGACCATGCCTGGTGAAGTGAACAGCACCCTGGGGACAGCAGGTAGGGACCAGCTTGGTGGTTCTTTGCACTCTGACTTCATGCAGCATGCTTGGGACCTGCATGTTCCCTTCACCTTTCTTTGTCAGTAGAGATGGAAGAGCAGGTAAAGGTGTTCAGTCGTGAGAAGGGCTGCTTCCTCACACACTTGGGCTCTCACCCAAGATTGGTAAATTAAATGACTCATTTTAGGTTACAGGAGAGAGGAAAGCCTCTTTTTCTCACCAGAAAAACTCTTTTGTTGCTTGCATTGTCTTTCTTAAAGCCGTTGTAGTCTGAACAACACTGTGGTTCAATGGTGATGGTTCATTTTGATCACTTAGTACCAGGAAATTTTGCCTCCTCTTTTGCAGGTTAAATTTTCCATTTTCATTGTGCATACAATTAATTTGAAAATGTGTATATTCAAACATTATCTTTTAAAAGAGAATTTGTCCCTTTAAAAAGTTCGTTCAGCAGATTGATTTGAACTAAGTTTTTGATGTTTCCTATTGCTTAATGCAGGAAAATAATATTGTACAATATTAATTTATTGCTTGGCTCTATTAATACATGGTGATATGTTTATAACCCATTACTCTCAACATATCTGTGACTTTTAAAGCATACATGGCACCTGAAGTCATCACTCGCGCCAAAGGAGAAGGCCATGGGCGTGCGGCCGACATCTGGAGTCTGGGGTGTGTTGTCATAGAGATGGTGACTGGCAAGGTAAGTGGAGCCCCCACACCTGGCGGAGGAACTTCGGAAGGGCACTGTGCATTGACAGAACAGTAGTTAATGGATTGATTATTCATTACAAACAGTGTAGACACTAAATAGTGAACATTATTAGAGACAAAAATATTATCCATCGAAAGAAACAATAAGATTAAGACAAATGACAAACCAGGAAACAAATATTTGTAAGCTATACGCCACAGAGAACTCTTAGGAGTGAATTTAAGAAGCATAAACCTCTCATTAAAATACAGGGAAGCAAGCAGTTACAAAAAGCAATATTAATAAGTTGGAAACATGTCCACACAAAAACCTGCACATGAATGTTTACGGCAGCGTTATTCATAATTACCAAAACTTGGAAGCAACCAGCATGTTCTTCAATAGGTAAATGAATCAACTGTGTTGCATTCATACAAAGGAATATTACTGAGCGATAAAAAGAAACATGCTATCGAGCCACAAAAAGACCTGGAGGAACCGTAAATGCATGTGACTAAGTGACAAAAGATGCCAGTCTGAAAGGCCTGCACTCTGAGCGATTCCATCTAATGACATCTGGGAAGAGGCAAAACCACAGGGACAGTAGAAAGATGAGTAGTTGCCAGGGACTGGGGGAACAGAGAGATGAACAGGACGGAATTTTTACCTACTCTGTAGGATACAGTGATGATAGATACATGTCAGTATGTGAATGTCCAAACCCGTAGAATGTGCGACAGAGTGAACCCTGACGTAAACTGTGGACTTCAGTTAACAATAGTGCATTCACATTGGTTCATCAGTTCTAAAAAATGGAGCACACTAACACGAGATATACATAGTAGAGGAAACTGTGGGACAGAGAGGGATATGGGAACTCTCTGTACCTTCCAGTTAATTTTTCTATAAACCCAAAACTGCTCTAAAATGATTATTAACAAAAGAAAGCATGAAAAGATGACAACCTCATTAACCAGAATTATATATTTAAAAGTGAAATCTTTTTACTTAGCATATGAGTGACTTTTTTTTTTTGAGATGGAGTCTCGCTGTGTTGGCCAGGCTGGAGTGCAGTGATGTGATCTCGGCTCACTGCAACCTCCACCTCCGGGTTCCAGCGATTCTCCTGCCTCACCCTCCCAAGTAGCTGGGATTACAGGCATGTGCCACCACGCCTGGCTAAGTTTTGTACTTTGGTAGAGACAGGGTTTCATTGTGTTGGCCAGGCTGGTCTCAAACTCCTGACCTCAGAATCCACCCGCCTCAGCCTCCCAAAGTGCTGAGTGACATTTTTAAAGATTGAGAATTCTCACTTTAAGAGAGTATGTAAAGAAACAGACATGTTTTGGACAGAAATTCCCTGTGGTGGGGCTGCTCTGGAGATGTTTCCAATCTCCATCAAAATTTTAAATGTGCACAGCACTTAAACCAAGAAGCTTTCTGCTTCTGAAAATGTATCTTGCGATGATAATATTAATGAGCAATTATACAAACGTATAAAGATGCACGTGCTGCACTATGTGTAGCTTACTGTACACATACACTATTATAGCAAAAAAGTTAGAGACCTTTGTTCCTAAGTGAAAAGTTAGTGTTAAGTTACTAGTAGGAAATCAGTTAATTATAATGTAGCTAAGCCTTGCAGCTGCTGAAAGAGATCACATATAAGTGCTCAATAAATATTAGCTAACATTATTTCTATTAGCATTAAAATAGAAAGGTGGTGGTTGTGATATCTGTGTTATTCCAGTAAAGCCACACATGAAAGAACAGGTTCTCATATTGAAGAATACATATTGCCAATAACGAAACAATAGTTTAGAAATTAGAATTCCATATACACTTAGTTCCTTCCCCTATGAATCTCATTTTTCATAGGATCATAATGAAATAAGCTTTGCACTAATGGAATTTTTATTTTTCAATAAGGTAGCATATTAACCATCCCTCTAAGAGAATTGGGTTTTGTAGACTTTTTTGTATCATTTTATATATTACATTTTTTAGTTGCATGATGATGGTTTCTAGATAATGTTGGACTAAATTGTGCACCCCAAATGGAGTAGGCAAACTATGCTGGCCACCTGTTTTATAAATAAAGTTTTGTTGCAACAGTTACACCATTTACATGTTGTCCATAGCTGCTACCATGCTGCCGTGACATAACTGAATAGTTGTGATAGAGATCATATGGCCTGTCAACCTGAAAAATTGTTCGGCCCTTTTAGTAAAAATTTGCTGTCCCCTAATACATATATTAATTATGAGATGCTTAAAAAGAGACTGAACATTTGCATTGTTTGTGGCTATATAATATTAAAATCTGATTTTTTTAAAACATCTTTTTTAGAGGCCTTGGCATGAGTATGAGCACAACTTTCAAATTATGTATAAAGTGGGGATGGGACATAAACCACCAATCCCTGAAAGATTAAGCCCTGAAGGCAAGGACTTCCTTTCTCACTGCCTTGAGAGTGACCCAAAGATGAGATGGACCGCCAGCCAGCTCCTCGACCATTCGTTTGTCAAGGTTTGGCAGATGACTGGATAGTCTTTTTCATGTTGAAGTGTTTAAGTTCTGTTTTGCATCCAGACGTTAATGAAGGTTTGAAACTTTAAAGTAGCTATATCTGAAGTGGAAAGGAACTAAATGTATTATTATGCCAGGGATTTTTGTATGTGTTTTTTCATTTGGAAAATGTTCATTGAGGTTCTTCTACTTGATCTCTTTTGATGGTGCATTTGAGATACACTAGAGACAGTAAGATGGAAATTTAAATGGGACGGGATGAAAGAGTTTCCACTCGAGAGTGTGTAGTCTACTTGGAGGATCAAGACAGTAATGACTATCATTACCCTAAGAGCTGTGATAATGCTAGGTAAGGTTACTCAGAAGAGGAATTTAATTAAGTCAGCCAATCTCAGTTCTTTTTTCTCTAGACTGAGGTACTAGAGGTCAGAAGTGGGGAAGCGGGCATGGAAGACAAAGTAAAGAAGCTTGGGAACGCTCACCCTTCAGAGGAGTGGGATGATCACAGAGCCCTGTGTAGGTAGATCCTGGTGAACACAGGATGTGGAAAAGGGCAGGAAGATAAGGCTGGAACAGTAACCAGGAGCAACATGAAGGAGTTTCCATTTTATTATAAACATAAATTATGACATAGTGTTTTAGAAGGATCACGCTAGAGGCAGAGGAATTGAGAAGGTTCTGATACAGCCAAGGGGTTGGGAGAGGGCGTTCCAGGTGAGTGATCAGTGGCATTTAAGAGTTAGAGTGCCGTGACTGACCCCTGATTGGATGTGAAAGGTGAGTGAGGGGAGGAGTCTAGGGTGGCTCCCAGGTTTCTGGTTTGTGTCCATTTGCCAGAGTAGAGAAAGAAGCAGTTGGGTGAGGGGTGGGTCCGGAGGTGGTGGGTCCTCTTTGGTGGATGAAGCTTGGGGTACGTTTGGAACGTCTGCTTGGAGATTTCAGATGGGCATTTGGATATCTGGGGCTGGCACTGAAGAGGGATTTGGGGTAGGGCACAGGTGTGGGAGACAGAAGTATTGCTGGGAGGGTCCACAGAGGACAAGGGGATGAGAACAGAGCCCTGGAGAAAAAAGCCTCGCAAGACCCCTGCAGGAGAGCCCCTGGGAAAGGAAAGGAAGGGGCGGAAGAGTGGGGTGATGCTCTTCTTGGTAAGTGGGAGTAAGGGGCAAGCAACTGGACCAGCTATGGAGATGTTAGGGATTTGTAATTAAATAACAATGTATGTCTTAGTTATAAAGTGCCTAACAATTTGTATTGACCTGAGAGTGCACATACGCATTTTAGAAAATGCTTTCATTAGTCAATTCCCAGGCTTAACTTTAGAGCAGTAACTTACCTTTGCCATTGTTCATTACATTTCTTAAGCTTTTCCCTCTGTGCCCAGCACAGTGCTGGGAGCATCAGGGTGACTGGATGGGGCCTTCCCCGTAAGGCTCACACTGTGTGTATGCACAAGTACACACCTGCCTCTGCAAGGGCTCAGCTCTCTCCTGCTTCCTCACAGGTTTGCACAGATGAAGAATGAAGCCTAGTAGAATATGGACTTGGAAAATTCTCTTAATCACTACTGTATGTAATATTTACATAAAGACTGTGCTGAGAAGCAGTATAAGCCTTTTTAACCTTCCAAGACTGAAGACTGCACAGGTGACAAGCGTCACTTCTCCTGCTGCTCCTGTTTGTCTAATGTGGCAAAAGGCTCTCTGGAGGGCTGGTGGCCACGAGGTTAAAGAAGCTGCATGTTAAGTGCCATTACTACTGTACACGGACCATCGCCTCTGTCTCCTCCGTGTCTCGCGTGACTGAGAACCGTGACATCAGCGTAGTGTTTTGACCTAGGTTCAAAAGAAGTTGTAGTGTTATCAGGCGTCCTATACCTTGTTTTTAATCTCCTGTTTGTTGAGTGCACTGACTGTGAAACCTTTTACCTTTTTTGTTGTTGGCAAGCTGCAGGTTTGTAATGCAAAGGCTGATTACTGAAATTTAAGAAAAAGGTTCTTTTTTCAATAAATGGTTTATTTTAGGAAAGCTCAGTTATATTGTCTTTTAATGGTTAACAGCTTATGAGGCAACCCAGTATGATTCAGAAGTCTGTCATTTTCACTTACCTGCTCCTCAAAAGGAGGAGCACAATCGTGTGTGCTAAAGGTGGTCACTGGGTTCGGCGTCCCTTTAGGATCGCCTCGCTGAAAAGCAAAGGAAATAAATGAAGCAATACTAATGACATAGGGTGGTTCTTTTTAATTATTTTATATTAACCAGCAAATTTATAACAGATAAAAGTTTAAACCTTGTTATCACCTGTTGGGAGTTCACTTTATTTTTAAACCAAGATGTATAGGTGCTAGGTCAGTGTAAATACTGCTGAATGAGCTGATGAGAAAGCGTCTTCTTCAGAAGTAAACATTTCAGCAGTTAGCTTTCTAAAATAGCCCCAAATTATACATCATTGATGGTGTTCTTTTTTTTTTTTTTTTTTTTTTTTTTTGCTATTACATTTTTAAAACAGATTGACCATAAAGCTTCCTGAAATCTTTTTGGAAGATCACTGACTCCTTACACATAGCCACTGACCCTGGGCAAGTAATTTCTCAAGCAGGTTTTGTATTCATCTTCCTTCAGAAGAGTAGATCCTTCAGCCAAGAAGTTAATGTCCAGAGAATATTGGCATTACAAAAGGATTTATACAACCACTTAGAATTTTAAGACTTCTTAAAATATAGCTTTTTTAGTTACATTTTACATAATATTTGAAGGGTACAATTCAGTAACTTTTAGTATAGTACAGTTGTGCAATGATTGTCACAACCCAATTTTAGAACATTCCTATCACCCCCAAAAGAAATCTCGTATCCATTTGTAGTCACTCCCCATTCTCACCCCCAGCCTTAGGTAACCACTAAATGATTTCTTGTTTCTATAGATTTTCCTATTCTGGACATTTCATACAAATAGAGTTTTATAATATGTGGTATTTTGTATTTGTCTTCTTTCACTTAGCCTATGTTTCTGAGATTGATCCATGTTGTAGCAGGTGTCAGTACATCATTCCTTGTTATTACTGAGACTGTTCAGACTGCCACACGCTTTATTTATCCATTTACTAGTTGATTGGGTTGTGCCCACTTTTTGGTTATTATAAATAATACTTCTCTGAACATTCCCATAGAAGTCTTCGTACAAAAATATTTTCATTTTTCTTGGGAGTAGATTTGCTGAGTTATATGGTAGATCTATGTTCAACACATTTTCAGAAACTTCCAACCTGTTTTCCAAAGTGGTGCACCATCTTATACCCCTACTAGCAATGTGTGAGGGTTCCAGCTGCTCCATACCCTCTCCAATACTTGCAATTGTGTTTTTTGATAATGTCTATTCTAGTTAATGTAAAGTACTATCCTGTTTTGATTTGCATTTCCCTAAACTTCGAAACTGTTTTCCAAAGTGGTGCACCATCTTATACCCTCTGACTCGCAATGTATGAGGGTTCCAGCTTCTCCATAATGCTTTTTTTTTTTTTTTTTTGATAATGTCCATTCTAGTTAATGTGAAGAGGTATCCTGTTTTGATTTGCATTTCCCTAATGATAGTGAACGTTTTTTCATGTGCTTGTTGGATATCTTCTTTGGTGAAACATCTATTCAAATCATTTTAAATTTGGGTTATTCATCATATTATTGGTTTGTAATAATTGTTTGATATGTTCTGGATATAGGTCCTTATGGGACATATGATTTGCAAATGTTTTTCCCTCCCCCCACCCCAGTCTGTGGCTTGTCTTTTCATTTTAACAATGTCTTTTGAAAAAGTAGTATTTAAAAAATTTTTTTTGAAGTCCAGTTTATCAACTTGGTCTTTGTTGCTTGTGCTCTCGATATCATATCTAAGAAACCATTGCCTGACCCAAGGTCACAAAGATTTACATCTATGTTTTTTTCTAAGAGTTTTGGAGTTTTAGCACTTACATTAGGCCTGTCTTTAGTTAATTTTTGTGTATGATATCACATAAGGGTCCACATTCATTCTTCTGCATGTGGATATTTATTTGGCCCAATATCATTTGTTGAAAAGGCTATTTTTTTGGCATCCTTGTTGAAAATCAGTTGACCATAAATGAAAAGGTTTATTTCTGCACTTCCAATTATATTCCATTAATCTCTATGTTTATCTTATGCCACACCATCTTATGCCATACTGTCTTGGTTACTATAACTTTGTGTTTAGTTTTAAAAATGGGAAGTGTGCATCCTCCAATTTTGTTCTTCTTTCCCAGGATCATTTTGGCTATTGGGGTAATTTGCATTTCCATATGAATTTTAGGATCATTTTGTTAATTTCTACATAAAAGCAAAACAAAACCACCTGTGATTTGGATTGGGCTTACACAGAACTGTAGAACAACTTGAGGAGTATTGTTTTCTTAATTTTAAGTCTTTCAATCTTAACACAGGATATATCTCTATTTATATAGGTATTTCTTCAGCACTGCTTTGTGATTTTTGTCGTATACCTCTTGAACTTGTTAAGTTTATTCCTAAGTATTCTTTTTATTGCTACTATGGGTGAAAATAATAATTTCATTTCCAGATTGTTCATTGCCCCCCCATATACACACACAGAGAGAGTGGATATACACACACACACACACACACACACACACACACAATTGATTTTTATGTTTATCTCTCATCCTATACTGAATTCAGTTTATAGTTCTATTGTGTTTATAGGCTGCATAGGATTTTCTACAAATAAAATAATGTTTTCCATGAATAAAAACAGTTTTACTTCTTCCTTTACACTCTAGGTACCTTTCATTTCTTTTTCTTGCTTAATTGCACTGGCTAGACCTTCCAGTACAGTGTTGAATAGTGGTGATGAGAATGGACATTCTTGTCATATTTTTGACATTTTTATCTTAGCTGGAAATTACTCATTCTTTCACCATTAAGTATGGTGTTACAGGTTTTTCATTAATGCCCTTTTTCCATTGGAGGAAGTTCCCTTTTATTTCTGGTTTGTGGAGAGAGTTTTTGTCATGAATGGGTGTTTTATTTTGTCAGATGCTGTTTATTGAGATGATTGTATGGTTTTGTACTTTACTGTATTGTAATATAGTATATTACATTAATTGATTTGGGGGTGTTAACTCAATCTTATATTCCTGGGATAAGTCCTAGTTGATCATTGGGTGTATTCCTTTTTATGTGTTGCTGCATTCATTTGCAGTTATTTTGTTGAGGACCTTTGCTTCCATGTTATATGAAGGATATTGCTCTTGTAGTTTTATTTCTTTTGATGTCGTTTTCAGGATAATGCTGGCCTTATAGAGTGAGTTTGGAAATTTCCCTCTTGTTTTCTCAGAGATTGTGAAGGATTGGTTTTGTGTGTGTGTGTGTGTGTGTGTGTATTTTTAACCAAATTGCTTTACATGTTTGATAGAATTCAGTAGTGAAACCAGCTAGGCATGAGTGAGTTCTCTTTTGGGGAATATTTTAAGTTACTAATCCAGTCTTTTTGCTTCTTGCAGGTCTATTTGGACTTTATTTCCGTGTATGCGTGTGTGCAGCTTTTTTAAAAAATTATTTAAATAGGTTTTTGGGGAGCAGGTGGTGTTTGGTCACATGAATAAGTTCTTTAGTGGTGATTTCTGAGATTTTGGTACACCCATCACCCAAGCAGTGTACACTGTACCCAGTGTGTACTATTTTATCCCTCACCCCACTCCCACACTTTCCCCTGAGTCTCCAAAGTCCACTGTATCATTCTTATGCCTTTGCGTCCTCATAGCTTAGCTCCCACTTAAGAGTGAGAACACACGATGTTTGGTTTTCCACTCCTGAGTTACTTCACTTAGAATAATGGACTCCAGTTCCATCCAGGTTGCTGCAAATGCTGTTATTTCATTCCTTTTTATGACTGAGTAGTATCCATACATACACACTACATTTTCTTTATCCACTCATTGACTAATGGGCATTTGGGCTGGTTCCATATTTTTGCATTTGTGAATTGTGCTGCTATAAGCATGCATGTGCAAGTACCTTTTTCATATAATGACTGCTTTTCCTCTGGGTAGATACCCAGGAGTGGGACTGCTGGATCCAATGGTAGATCTACTTTTAGTTCTTTAAGAAATCTCCACACTGTTTTCCATAGTGGTTGTTCTAGTTTACATTCCCACCAACAGTGTAAAGATGTTACCTTTTCACCACCTCCACACCAACATCTATATTTTTTAAATTTTTTTATTGCCATTCTTGCAGGAGTAAGGTAGTATCTCATTGTGATTTTGATTTGCATTTCTCTGATCATTAGTGATGTTGAGCATTTTTTTGTAGGTTTGTTGGCCATTTGTGTATCTTCTTTTAAGAATTGTCTATTCATGTCCTTAGCCCACTTTTTGATGGGATTTGTTTTTTTTGTTTTTTTTTTTCTTACTGATCTGTTTGAGTTCCTTGTAGATTCTGGATATTAGTCCTTTGTTGGATGTATAGATTGCAAAGATGTTTTCCCACTCTGTGAGTTGTCTTTTTACTCTATTGATTATTTCTTTTGCTGTGTAGAGCTTTTTAGTTTGATTAAGTCCCATCTGTTTACCTTTGTTTTTGTTGTATTTGCTTTTGTGTTCTTAGTCATAAAGTTATTTGTCTTAGCCGATGTCTCAAAGGGTTTTTCCAATGTTACTGTCTAGAATTTTTATGGCTTCAGGTCTTACATTTAAATCTCTGATCCACCTTGAGTTGATCTTTGTATAAGGTGAGAGATGAGGATTCAGTCTCATTCTTCTACATGTGCCTTGCCAATTATCCCAGCAGGATTTATTGAATAGGGTATCCTTTCCCCACTTTATATTTCTATTTGCTTTGTCAAAGATCAGTTGACTGTAACTAAGTGTTTGGCTTTATTTCTGGGTTCTCTATTCTGTTCCATTGGTCTGTATGCCTGTTTTTATACCAGTAGTACCATAATGTTTTGGTGGCTATGGCCTTACATTTTAAAGTCAGGTAATGTAATGCCTCCAGATTTGTTC